TAGTCATAACTTCTAGACTATTAGGTGTATCAAATAATCCTAACAGGATGTTAGTTCAACAAAGTTCCGACTTGGCTCTCATAAGAGTTTTATGGTGGAAGTAAAATAAATTCTCCTCTTTGTTATTGCTAACAAACCACTTAATATATATCCATAATACCCCACACTCAGTGCCCTTTGAGAGGGCACTATTTTTAGTCAACTGGTATAGAAAACTGGATCAAATTAAAATTCGTCATAACGTCATGTCTGACCAACAGAAGGTGGACCACTCACATTGTCAAATCTTTTTTCATAATACCAAGAAGTTCATTCATAGCCGAAATGTACCTGATGTCCATAAACTAAGAGTGTAATTGGTTTACAAATTCTACCTGTGATCACTTTCACTATTGAGTTAGACTTAAGTTAGATACCAGTTATTGAAATTTGACAAAACAGGGCAATAGGAGTGATTTTGAGATGTGATAGGTACATACAAATTTCTATGATGGTTGTATTTGATGAATATCAATGATTTAAAAAAAATCAGTCAGGTATTTAAGCGCCAAGTTTTGCAAAGTGATTCTGAAGAAGACTATGATGAAAGAGTATTGTGTCAAGATTCTGACAGTGACGATGATCGATCCGAAGAAGACGAAACAGAAGTCGAAAAAAACATGTTGACTGAAAATCGTTTAGAACAACCCTTAGCTCGTCAAGCAGAACAAGATGAAGTTGTGCTTGTTCTATTTTGTACAAAAAAGCAAAAGGTTTTCTACATTGCAAAGGTTTTGGATACCTTGAATCATAATATGGAATATTATGTCAGCTTTCTTAGATGTAAGTCGCAGCAACAATTTTGTATTCCAGATGTGCCTGACCAGGCGTTTGTCAACGAACAGGATGTAAGATTCATCTTTCCGAATCCAACAATAAGTGGTACAGCTAGTTCTATTTTGTACAAAAAAGCAAAAGGTTTTCTACATTGCAAAGGTTTTGGATACCTTGAATCATAATATAGAATATTATGTCAGCTTTCTTAGACGTAAATCGCAGCAACAATTTTGTAAGAATGTAAGATTAATCTTTCCGAATCCAACAATTAGTGGTACAGCTGTTTTTCTATATTTTCATTTTGAAAATCAGTTAGTTTTTCCATTTTGAAATACGTGCAATAATCTTGGTGACTGATCCACTGTTAACTGTAGGCCGATCCACTGTAGACCACCCCTGGTCAACACTGAATCATTTTGCACTAAAAATTGATTTATTTTATATTCTACTTGTAATACGACCGACTTTGAATTATCATATTTTTCCATTTAAAAAAATAAAGTTTCTAGGACTTTTTGATGGAAGTGGCAACGCCGCAATGCTGAAAATATTTTAGATCGATAGAACAGGTAAGGATATGTGAGAGGTGAAATTTTCAGAGAAATCATGCTTTGCGTTTTCCAGAAACGTCTAACCTACCATCGACCGTGAGTCACGCTGTATATGTATGTATCCTTCTACTATCGTTTTGATGATTTCATATATACATCCATCAATTCTCATTTCTGTTTCATTTCATGTAAATCAATTTCATCATTATTTCAGATATTTTTCCTTCAATACAAATGTTATATTATCAAGACTATGCGATATTTTTCAATGTTCAATGTACTCAAATGGCTGAAGCTGAATGAAGCTATTCAACTCACAGAGTGAGCAATCCATATGTTTCAAAGGATATTGCACATAATAATGGAAATTTTCATTTACGAAAATTATTCCCATGTTTCTCGGGAAAAGAATTTACTCACCTCTATTATCCATTCGAACATTCCTAAGATAGAAAACACCTTGCCTAATCATTATTTCGTGCATTATTATTGCAAATGAATATACGTCTCCTCTCTGTGATCCGGCTGGTGGAGTTGGATGCATATTGAGCAGTTCTGGCGCCGTCCATAATAATCCTATGGTAAAAATAAAATTTTATTTCTTCATCATCAGCATTGCAGGACTGGAGCCTAGGGACACATACTCCCAGGACTACGTGATTACCAGATTATATAATTACTTTGTACAATTACTGGTAGAAAAATAAACAATTTTAATGTATAACTATGGTATGACAATCAGTTGAAGACGGTGATCAATTGGTTTCGTAATGCCAAATCATATAGAAAAACGTTCAATCACATGAATGAATTGTGTGTATTTTCTATAATGTTATCCAATTTGGTACTGAAGAGCCTTCGGGCAAGTGTCTTAAGGCGAAACACCGGTGTATACCAGTGAGGGCGAAAGTGTTCCATGTAAGTGCAATTTATTACCATTCATTTAAAGTAGAACTCATGTGAATGATATCTGATTTTTATACCACAACGAATGTTTGAAATACAAAGTGAATGGAGAAAAGTATCTTCTGTATAATTCAGTGTTCATATAGAAGTATTTGTTTCGGAAGTTTTCTTCAATGTTGACTGTGTATCTGTTCAATGACAACAACCCAAAAGCACCAAAACTCAATGCACAGATAAAGATACATAAGGAAAATAAACCTAAAAGACCGGTTATCAATTTCATCAAAGCACTTTCATACAAAATTTCAAAAATCATAGCCGACGAACTGAAAAACAAAATCAACAGGAACAACGACCACAGCATCAAAAATTCAATAGAACTCACAGACAGAATCTCTACGACAAATGTCAGCCCGAACACTAAACTGTTCTCGTTCGACATAAAAAACATGTATTCCAACATACCAGTCAACGAAAGTATAAACATCATATCTGAGAATCATAATGATGGTACTGTTTCTGAGAATGATTTTTCAGAATCAGAATTAACTGTATCTATGAATGATTTGCATCATAATTCTCCAATTCTAATGGAAACTGACCATAGTGAATCTGCTGATGAGTTGATAAATGGCTCAGCGATAATGGAAAGTACTCTTGGTTCTGGCATTGACAAATCTCCCTGTACTAATAAATTTCACACAGAGGTTATCGAGTTGGGCTCTTACATATCAAATACCCCATAATGCCCTAACAGTAATAGATTGAACAAAGCTATCAGAACATGTGAGCCAACTTCACAATCATGGGAGCATCACAGAATTTCAACATTCAGGAATGCAACTTATGGTAGAGAATTCACACTTGTGAATCAGAATGGTTTCTAATGATAAATGTTTTTTTAGATGATTATACAGTGGCAAGAAAAAAATGCATGAGGACACAGGAAACATCAGACCTAACTACAGATAGTGATAAAAGATAATCAAAAAGACCTAATCGGTTTGAATCATCTGAATCAGACTCATCGGATGAGTGTGTAACTTCCAAATCATCCTGGATACTTCCAAGATTTCCAAAAGTAAATTTAACATTGCTGCAGGTTGATGGTGAATACTATATCAAATATTAATTCTGTAAGTTTTTGTTTTAATAATAGAGAGGATCAAAAGTTAAATTTTATATGTATATTGTCTCTAATTATTTTAGTTCACCAAAATTCAGCTATTATCAGCACATTTTCTGGGACTGCTCATGGGTCCCATAAAGGACAGAAATGTGGCTTGTCTAATAAGACAACATTTTCATCTTGCTCATCAAGCTCTTCCCTAATTTCTGAACAAAACGACAAATTGAAAAGTGCTGCTGTGACGTAAAACAAGGAATTTTGTCAATGTTGTCCTTACCACAAATATGAACCATCTACTACAGCTATGAATCGGAATGTTGTTTTTCTTTTTGAAATTAACAGTCAATTATAGATCTGATCAAACAAATAATTAGGAAAATTTCAATGATAGAAATAGGACTAGAAGAAATAAGAACAAGAATCGAACTAATGTATCAAATGAATAGAAGATGAAGCTGAAGACTACTTGGATATTTGAAATGAATTTAATTTGCCTGCTGATGATATTGAAAGTTTATCATCCTTCGAAGATTATCTTAAAATTGAGAACAACATGAAAACATCTGTGAGTTTCAATATAATTCGAAAAGAAAAGAAGAAAAGATTATTTGAAATAGACAAAAATGTACTTACTTGAATCTATTAGTCAGTTTGTTTTCATGATATGCTGTCTTCATATGTAGTTAGTCATTAAGCTTTCAGAAAAGTCATTTGCAAAATGTGATATTTTGTTTACAA